TCGCTGGCTCTAGGACAGCACCTCCTCCTCGTCGCCCGTTAAACCACCGCCCCGGCCCCGGCGACATCGGCAACGTCCCGACGCCGTACTGCCGCGCCCGAGCCCTGGCGAGGCAGCCTCCATCCTCCCAAGCGAGCACGCCGGTCGCCGCCAAGCCCTCGCAACCGCCGTCACCCTCGCCAAGCCCCCGCCCGGCGTCCTCCTGCGCCTCCTCGACCCCGCCTCCTCGCGCCCGCGCACCGCCGCCTCGGCCTCGCCTCGCCGGCGACAAGCCCCCGCCGGAGCTCCCCGAGCTCGCTCGCCTCCTCGCCGGAAGCCGCCGCCGCCGGGAATGAATTTGCCAACGCCAGCCGCGACGCCTCGCCCCATTCCTGGGCTCGGGCAACGCGTACGCCCGCCTCCTTGGCTCCTGTGGCGTGGACTCTGGCGGCAAACGGCTGTGCGTGGCGGCGCGTGCCCGGTGGTGGTGGAGGGAATGGATAAGAGGCCGTGGTGCACGGTGGTGATTGCCGGGTGTTTTATGTAAAAATGAAGCGTTTTCTTAATTTAAAATAGGACCGCGGGTTGAATTCTCATAACCAGAGGGACATTTTTGTAAATTTGCTAATGACGTACGACCCCAAGCAATCGCTTCTTTATTAGTACTAGCAAATATGCCCGTGCGTTGCAACGGGAGGAAAAACTATCAAACTATGCCGGAGTGGTAGATAATGGCTTTTAAAATGCCAAGGTGAGATAAGGGCTTTTAAAATGTCATTTCAAAAACTATGTCTAAGTGATGTCATGATGAGATAAGAGACTTTTGAAAAGTCATTTCAAAAAAAAAGTGATGGTTTGACCATGATTTGATTTCCTAAGGCGCCACAACGAATTAGTTTTGGCTGAGTAAACTGCATTGATGAACCCTACCTAAGCTAGACTGATGAATGATGTATATAATCTTGACCTAGCGTAGCGGTGGTTGTCATAACAATTACCATGGTACCAGAATAAACATAGCTGTGTATGGAGGCAAAATAGACATTTAGTCATTTTATATAGTTTACAAAAACTAACCCATAGAAAATTGTGTCAATATTTTTTGGCTTCAGCGTCGTACGAAACATGGAAATCTTTTTTTTACCCGATGCAAGGGACTAAATAAAATCATAAATTGACCTCTACAGATCCCCTATTAAAACTTCGACGCAGGCGATGTTTCGTTTTGTTCATCATTTACGGGCCTGTTTTAATTTTGGAAACATTTCAAAAAAATCATGTATATTTTTTTTTCTAATTCCAGAATGTACTTTGAATACTGGATTTTTAAAAAAAATCATGTTTTTTTCATGAACATCTAGTTGATATTGTGATTTTTTTATGATATGCGATTTTTCTTTGAAATCATGAACAATTTATGATTTCTCAATAAATCTCGCAGCTTTTTGAAATTTGGTTCTTTTGAAAATCCTGAATGATTGTAAAGAATGAAAAACAAAAACAGAATTAAAAAGGTAAAAAGCAAAAAACGAAACAGAAAACAGGCGCAACCAGCCGCACATGGGCCGGCCCATTAGCGCGTCGAGGAGGAGGAGGCACGCCATGTACATTTTTTTCTAATTCCAGACTACTGGATTATTATTTTAAAATCATGATTTTTTTATTTGATGAACATCTATTTGATATTCCGAATTTTTTCTATGATATGCAAAAAATATTTTGAAATCATGAATATTTTATTACTTCTCAATAAATCCCGCAGCTTTTCGGAATTTTATTCTTTAAAAAATCCTGAATTAATTTAAATAAGAAAAAATAAAAACAGAAATAAGGAAATAAAAAGCAAAAAAAGAATAGTAAACAGGCCACCCCCCAGCCAATTATGGGCCGGCCTATTAGCGCGCGGGGGTGGAAGACCTGCGTGGCAAAAAGGTGTAGGAACCAGGGATCGAACGCTGGTCTCCTGCGTGGTAGGCCAACGCCATGGCCATTGCGCTACCGGAGGATTGTGTAATATAAGTGTATCGCCCCGTAAGAAATAAACCCGCGGTGATTTTGAAATAAATCCGAATCATGTTACTTATGGATGGCATGGCGGGTAATTTATGCCAAATTCGAGGGCAATTTCTATGACGGACGACCAGAAGCACTATTTGCTTTATTAGTAAAAATTAAGGTAAAGACTAGCACAAATGCCCGTGCATTGCAACGGGAGATTATTTTTTACATGCTCCTAGCTCAATAATCATGACTCAAGGCCCTCCACATCTCCCGGTCATCTATTTTAACACGGCGCCTCACCTATATTATCGCATATCTGAATTTTCGCCTTGCCTGATAGTGCTTGTGGTGGCCACCTAATCACAATGTGTTAAAATATTCGTCAATCCTATCTTGGTCATCGCACGACACACATGTCATTGATCCGCGCAAGTAAAAGGAATGTTTAAAACTTATAAAATTAATCCCATCCACCTGGACGTGAGGCCGGCACTCTGCCAGCTACAGTTGATCCATACACCCTCTCTTATACTTACACTCACTTTTTAAATTGCATGACTTTATGTTCCATGTGCATTCAGTACATGGTTATAATATATCAAAGAAATACCCAATGTTTTACCAACCAAATCCACAGTTGGAAAAATCTGAACCAAAATCCTTGTGAGTTTTTTTTTCCTGTAGTTTATATAGTTTTGCCTGAATATCCTTAGTTTTCTGGGAACTTCTATTAGGTTCATATTACATTTTACGCTGATTTGTATGCAAGACACATCCACGGCAAAAAATTGATAATTCCTTTGTGTGATTTACGGTATTTCATTTGCACATGGATGTGTGCAACCATATTTTTTTTCTCTCTACTTTGTCCACTATATGATTTATATTCATTGACAAGATTCTTTACAAAGATGTTGCATTTGGATTGGACCAATTTGTTTCTGTACATTTTTATTTTTAAAATGGAGGCTCTAATGTTATTTGAATATCCACTAATATCCCTATTATATTTGTTTAGCTATTATTTTTAGATTCATTCAGTTATGTGAATTTTTTTAACATGTTTTGGCCAGTCATTTTTTTCTCACATCGTAGTATCTGCACAATTTGCATTTGTTCATTTTTTAATCCATGTTTCAATCTAAAATTCTTAGATGGTATCAATCAATTTTTCCAATATAAAATTTCTTAGCTCTTTGATTAAAAAAAGCGTCTCTACTTTAAATTGAAGATGCTGGCCATATATGTGTCTTTTGTCCTCTATCGTGCTGGTCCTTGAACATGGCTGCTGGTGTGGCGAGCACATCGTGCATAACCGTGTGCGCTATCAGGCTGAGAGACCGTCTGCTCTGCCATCCGTCTATATGTGCCGGCCGTCCATGGCCTTCATGTGTCACTGATTTCTTTCATAATAGCCATATATTTGTCCATCTAGCCGCATGCACACCTCATTCATATATTTGCATGTCACCATCCAGCCTCTCGTTGCCTTATTTTTGTTGCTTATTTGTGACCAAATGGGATCCAATCTGTTTATTGACTCTCAAGACGATGTACTGATTTTAAAGCTTAGATGTATTTAAATTGGCAACCTAGGATTTAGGAAAGCGATGTGGTATTATTTAACAGAGAATCAGTCCAATTTCTATGCACAAAGTGGATGTAGCTCAATTGTACATAGGCCTTGTTGTTGGGCCAGAGGTTTGGAGTTCGATCCCAAACACCAGCACCTAACTTTTTGCGCCGGCTACCATAGCAGCTAGGCCGGCTGACTCGGCCGCACTTAATTAATGGGCTGAGGCCCACTCGGGCAACGTACGAGCGTATGAGAGAATCCAAAAGCAATTGAAACTAACGGTGCGCACGCGTGACCCAAGAATTAGTACCACCTCGCGTATAATTCAATTAATCAGCATAGTATCAGATGCGGGACGAAACCAAGAATATCACCTTGCTTTAATAGTAGGTATAGATAAAAAAATAAGGTAGAGATATAGATATAGATATAAATATAGAGGTATAGATGTAGCAAGTAGTTAATCACACACGGCAAATACGGTTTAATTACCCACGGCAACTATCATAAATTAGACATAGCAACTATAGTTAACCTAAATAGATAGAGTTGCCATGCTTTTACAACTACACTTACCATTCCGAATAACTACATCTGCCATCCAAGATGACAACTAAATCATCATCCCGCGGGTATCTAACATAGTTGTACCAGAACGTGTGGGCATTTTTGCTTCGTGCCACACGCGCGAGATATAGATGAGTAGTACTTGTTGGATGTATGCCACGAAGTAGTTACGCCCACACGTATGAGCAATTCTAATGTCGGGCTGTGTGTGGGCGCATGTCTAATATACCACACATGAGGTGGATATCGACATCCAAAATGTAAGACATGGAGGACATGCGCCGCCTTAGATTCAGACTCGGTTTAGTTGCTTTTGTTAATGAATGTGCCTTGGTTTAGATAAAAATCCAACAAAATCCGGTTTGTATGTACTTCGTCCGATTTGTTGAAATTCGTCCGATTTGTTGAAATCCAGTTTGAAATGTTCTGTTCCTACACAAGAAAATTATGCAAGAAAAGGATCTCGTCCTTTTGAAAGGAATAATCTGATGATTTAACAGACGTGTATTGACAAAGAAAATCAGTGGGCACAGATATCATACCATACGTCCAAGTATTTGAGATATATTTGCAGAGTAGCAAGCAACATAGATGGGAGAAATGATTCGTTGCAACTTGCAAAAATTAAGTAATACTCCATAAAATTAAGGGTCGCCCGATGCTGCAGTCGTAGTAATCTAAAAGAGACATCAATGAGACATGAAATTGCATGAATCAAAATTATAGATAGTGTGAGACTTCGATATAAATGAGAAAAATTAATGGTTACAGTATTAAGAGTGGTACATGAGAACCATAATCAGTCTTGAGTAGTTCAGCAATCAGATGATGGAGATGAACTACATCGATAAAGGCTGACAAACTGACGATAAAGTACCTACTTCAGTTTTGACTTGGCAGAACTTTGCAGTGGCTTAGAGATAGAAACAGACTGGCTGCTCATCGCCTTCTTCTTCACATTGTATGTTATTGACATGAATGAACAAATCAGTGCAATCAAAATGGTAGGATAGACATATACTGGTTCTGTTAGATCACTGATCACAGGCTTCCGAAAGAGCGCATCTTTCACAAGACCCCAGATAACCAAAAGCGTACCAAACAAGATCATCCTCCCAGGATTAATGATGCCAACGAGTGCTCCAGCAACACAGAAGTAGCTTCCAGCAAGCATCTGATTCAGGGGAGAGAGAATATAAAGAGAACTTATCAAGAGTTGTCACAAACATTTTTCTCATGGAGTTGTAGGTCAGTTATATAAGAGCACCTCTAGACGCTGTAGATCAATTACTGCTGAAGCATTCTTAGCTTCTGTCAGATTGTATATGTCAAACAGGTCACTCCACCTTGGAAATGTCATGCGCATGCTTGTAGTGAGGTTGCGCACTATAGCTCCAGGGTAGAGCATGGCCTTCACAACAGATGGTGGGAATATCTCATTTGAGACCAACTGTGAAGATGTAATTTGAATAGGTGTAGTGCATGTGCCTGCTCTACAAGGGACCCTGAAATGGCACAAGAAGTTAAGGAAAAGCTACCTGCTCATAAAATTACTTCCAAGTAAACCTAAAGTGCTAAAATGAGATGTAACTGGACACAAAGGCAAGCATTGTAATGGAAACAAATAAGCATACCAGCCTACCATCCGTACTCAGGACTTGGGAGAAAGGGCGGTCTCACACCACAGGTACTAGGCCCAAATCGGATCGTCAAAGTCGTTCTCTGCCCAAATCGGAAGAGTGTGATTATCATCGAATGATCGGCACCCTTGCCCCCATCACCAGCTCCCAGTATTAGAAGCATGGGCCAGGCCAACATCAATACAGCCAGTTCTTACCCTCACAAAAGCAAAAATTAAACTATTCATATCCAAAGCAATGGGCTTGACAGCAAGAGCAGTTACCCTAAAGACAGTTTCCCCAAGACCCAAATTCCTGTTCTACCTGTGTGCTATTAACATCACCCTAGACAACTTTTGCAAAGGTCTAATGCAATTGGTCATGTGGTCTAGACATCAGAAGCCACCATGGAATAGAGTAAAGGCCTTGATCAAATTATGTTTATACAAAGAACGAGAAGGCAGACTCCCAAGGTTTTCTGTCTGGGCAATTGTCCACACAATGGCCAAGACCACAACCATCACACCACAAAAGGGTGGATGTTGCAACTGGTGAGCCCCATTAACTGAACCAACATTCCTATCCTCAGCTCTCATGGTAGCAACAGCGTGTGCCCTATCATTATTTTGCAACACATTACCCTGAGCATATTTAGTCAGCCCCGCCCGACTAGCCGCAGCAGATGATTTACTCTGTGCCAGAGGAGACGATCTAGCAGGCAGCTGGGGGAGACTAATTGCAGCAGCAATAGATTCTGACATGGATGTTGTTGCCGCCATAGCTTCTGTTGCCACCGTCCCATCAAACATCTCGGGGCGATGACTCCATCTGTCCTTGCCAGCCCTCATCTCGGCAGCACGAAAATGTGCCTCCTCAAGAGCTCCTTCCCTTGCCAACAACTCTTCCTCCTTGCGCGCCAATTCCAGGCGTCGCACCTCATCAGCTTTACGCTGCTTGATCCGACGGCATTCCGCCATCCGGCGTCAATCTTTCTCCACCAACCTCATCTTCTCGTATCCACCCCTCCACTCCTCCTGGTGACGACTATGCATATCGTCCCACGTCCTTTATTCCTCTCTTCTCGCCTGCTCTGGATCTAATCTTACGTTCCCTCGTCCCGAATACGGACCAGAACGTTGAGGGTAGCAAGGAGGAGATCGACAGACCCCCTGCCTACGATCCATCAATGAAGGCAGCGCTGCCACCTAGGCGTAAGATCTAGTCGCCTTCTCGTCACCGCTCGCTTGCACAGGGCACGGGAGAGGGGTAGGGGTGCGTGTGGGAGTGGAGCGGACAAAGACTACTCCACAAACCCTACCTCCTCCTCTCAAATGCCCAAAACGTTCTGGGCCAAAATGGACAGGGCCAGGCTTATTATTTTTAGGGCCCACAGAACAAGTAGGCCCGGTTCGGCCAACAGCTCTTCCTCCTTGCGCGCCAATTCCAGGCGTCGCACCTCATCAGCTTTACGCTGCTCGATCCGACGGCATTCCGCCATCCGGCGTCAATCTTTCTCCACCAACCTCATCTTCTCGTATCCACCCCTCCACTCCTCCTGGTGACGACTATGCATATCGTCCCACGTCCTTTATTCCTCTCTTCTCACCTGCTTTGGATCTAATCTTACGTTCCCTCGTCCCGAATACGGACCAGAACGTTGAGGGTAGCAAGGAGGAGATCGACAGACCCCCTGCCTACGATCCATCAATGAAGGCAGCGCTGCCACCTAGGCGTAAGATCTAGTCGCCTTCTCGTCACCGCTCGCTTGCACAGGGCACGGGAGAGGGGTAGGGGTGCG